GAAGGAGACATCTCCCTATTTTACGAGTGCGCAAATTTTACAAGCGGCTTGAATTGCCCCGGTTCCGGGGACTATTCTTTCTTTCTGTTCTGTTCCTTTTCAGGATTTTTGGGTTTTCGGTTGCCCCGATTTTTTGGGGCGCCAACTTTTCTTGTTCTCGTCTTTTTCGGCGCATCCCGAGATGCGCCGATTAAATTTCAAGTCAACGGACCCCTCTTTTTTCGTGGCGGCGTCCTTTGCCGCCAAATAAATTTTGCACAACAGGGGCAATGAAAATTCTATTTTGTCTTGAAGTTAAATTCTGATTTACTCTTTATTTCCCAATAACGAGTCGAAAATTACGAAGTAATTTGCGGCCCAGTGCCATTCGGATTTTGTGCTGTTTATCGTACATTATAGATGACTATATGTGGAACGCATAAATTATATATGTATGCCTCAGCGGTCTGCACGTGGACGTATTTTTCACAACATATATTTTGATAACCTTGAAAAAGTTGATTTAATAATAGTAATAGATTCTCTTCAAGAAATTGTATATTTTGTTTACAGCATTAGATTTTTAATTCGAAATATTATACTCAAACAAAATCCTAATCGTTCCGATTTTTTCAATACAGATCATTCGAACAAGTACGGTATTGAGTAATTTATTTTGATTCATTTTTCAGACAATAAGTCCCGAAAAATAAGGTCTTTGGAGCAGTATTCTGTATAGTGCTGCAGTACAGTACTGTATATGCAAATGACATTCCTTTAATAGGTCTTTTTTCACGTACTGCGCGAAGTACTTTTTTGGGGAATGCCGGTGATTTTGCCATTTGATCCTCGACGAGAGGTATCTTGATACAGCTTTCGATTTCATGCAAGAGCCTTGGGTAACATGAATGTTACTTCCGCCCAAGGTTCTTGCATGAAATTGCCATGTCGTAAAACTTTTGATCCCCGAGAGAGTGATCCGAGTCATTCAGCAATTATGCACGGAGAAAATCAGATGGTTGGTTTATGTTATCTTGACGCATTTCCTGCATAAAGTAAGTGGGTAAAATATGTGGAATATTTCCGCATTTTCCAGAAGATTTCCTATTGCATAATGAGAGCAGTACAGTATACTTATTGCATGAGACCACAATCATGAAGCAATATCCCAGCAACCGCATTTACATATTAGCACAATTAATTACAACGATAACATGTTAACAATTTCTAGGATAAATTATTAGAAGACGATTTAGTCTTTCCAAAATTTCGGTTGATTTTCAAATTTGAAGAAAATACCAAGTCGTTGTACACGCCGAGATCTACAGAAGATACAGTATTTTAGAAGCAGTTGACGAAGATTTTCTCAATTTTTCCACGCTTTCTCTGTACAACGTATACGAAAATCGCCGTCAATTTGAATAATATGCATCAGTTCAATTTTTCAGTCTTTTTTGAAACGAAAAATGAGAATCCCAAGGTGCGTTGCAATATTACCTTACTTCAAAAACTGCCCGACATTTTCTGAAAAGGTGTAAAACTAAAAGCAAGAAGAATAGACCATGTTATAGCAAGCACAGAATGTATATCCAGCATGAATACAATTTTCAGAAAAACTACAGATTAATTTTCCTCAACTATAACTTATTTGGGAAGAAATCATACGATTATTTTTTCCTGCTTTCGAAGACTATTTATTGCAAGTTATGCTGTACAGATTTGATGATTTCTCAGCAGATTCTCCTAAATTTCGACTGACAAGTCCGTTTATCATCATTATGCAGCAGGAATCTTATAATTGCATGTGAAAGCATTATGATTGTTTATATACAGACACCGATTATATATGTATACAGTAGTACATTATGCAGCATATCATTTAGATAGATCCCACAAAATCAATATAAGTTATCAGCATCAATTCCAAGATAATTTTGTTTTCAAGAAGTGAAGAAAATGCTCATATGAAACATATCATATTCGCTTTGATATAGTGACGCAAAACTTCTTGCTAAAATACGTATAATTCAAAAGTACTGAAATGAGCTTGCTGGTCGGCATTAATCCAAGGCGTAATATTGCAAGCAATATATGTATATAGTAAAATTTCCTGTTAGCCAACCGAAAGTTTCATAACACGTCCATCAAAATATGATATGCCCATGAACCGTGGCAAATAGGGGAACGTCGAACAGATCAATAAAAGTACTGTACTCTCCGGAAACGATTTTCGATCGTTGATGAAAAGCAGGAAATTTATATTTCTTCCACGATCAGAGCACTACGCGTGTGCACCTGCTCTGCAATCTCAAGGACTCAATATTCTGCACAGCATTTTTTTCTGATTCCTTCCTCTTCCTGCGATGTCTGCGTATAGTCCGTATACTCGCGTACAGTAGTATTAATTCCTCTCGGCCGAGACGAGGTCGATGTTGCTCAACGTACCAACAGCACATATATATGCTTATATTTTACATATATACAGTACAGTGTATGTATATATGCAACCTTTTGTTCATTATTTCTCTCTCCCTCTTTCTGAAGCTCCAGTTCCTGCATGAATAGCCAGCAGACAACCGCACACGTGAACGTCAGTTTGACAAGATAATAACAAGACAATAGCAACGAGGCCGTGATCAGAAAACGATACGGGCGCGTGCAATAGGAACTTATCTGTGGTTGCGACATCTATCTATACGTACGAGCATCAGGGGCAGGAAGTGTTCCGAGATTGCGTTGCTTCGGAATTGCCACCTTATTTATTGTGTCGAATGCTGTAGGAAATGCTATAGGCAATAATTCCACGTTCCAGACGTGTCTATAAAGCAGTTTTTCTTGCGACGGAATTACTGCACCGTACATTACAAAAAAGGCTCGGCTTCCGGCGACGACTCATGCAGCAATGAATCTCGCAACAATCGCGTCTGCATTCTCGTCATCCGCCGAGGAAAAGGTGCTGATAATGCAATGAGGTTTTGTTGTTGTTGTTGCCTAATGCAGTACTTGAAATAATTTCCATCAGCGTACACTGCACTTATAAGTTAACCTTAGAGGAGATTTTGAACTGATTTCGAATTCCGTAAATATTTTTTGGTGGAGATCGTCGAAACTGCTTACAATTTTCAAAGTACTGTACTGGTCGCAATGGTTAATGCCAACAATCACATGACGGATTATGGTGATTGATTAGACCTGGAATGTAGGTACGTTTCATGGATATAAATTGAAGAGGATGACTGATTTGAATCACTGTAAGTCCTTTTTAAATGCTTTGGTTCCCACTTTCCATCAAAATTAGCTGCAGTTTCCCGCACAAATGTACATCATCTTTAATGTAGTGCATACACAGAATTATAGAAACTTCCTTGGGAATATGTACAAAATTCATGACTATACATTACTTGACTCATGAAGGTGATAAATTATAGATAAAACATTCAAATTTTATTTGACATGACCTAATGATTTTCTGCTGATGGTACTGGTATTCTTCTGCTGCAAGCATATACGAGGGTTCTAACAAAAGTTCTCGGAATGAAAATGGCGTCTAATCGAGCTGAAAGAAAAATTATTCTTTAGGGCAAACATATTATTTGGCACAAAAAAATCAGCCCTGTTTGACAATTTTTTTTTGTGCAGAAGAATATGTTTGCCCTAAAGAATAATTTTTTTCAGCTCGATTAGACGCCATTTTCATTCCGAGAACTTTTGTTAGAACCCTCGTATAGAATATCCTCATCAACAATTCCCCACAATTTTTTACTTTTCCTTGCAGTAAAGATATTTGTTTCCTTTACTCAAAACCTGCTTTCCTGGTCCCTATAGAAATTCGACTGAGAGAGGTTCAACTGTATATTGTAGTTCAAACCACGACAGGTAGTTTTAATTTAATTAGTTAATTAAACTAAGCGCAGAGATTCAATTTCCTGTGTGCTTATCCCAGGGAGTTCAAATGAAACAATTTGCGCCAAAAAATAGAAAACATAAAATAAGATACTTGCGATAACCTCCTCTGAAAAAGTATTGCATGATAATTGTTAATTCTTGAAGGTCTCTGAATGCTCTCCAAAGTCCAGAAGAACTGTCATTCGAACCTCGCCACGAGGCATTTTTTGCTATAATGAAGGCCTGTAAAGTTTAAAAAAAAGAAATCCCAATATGTCGCCGTTTTCAATTAATTTTTAAATCATGCATTGTCCACAAGTTCATCATACGAGGTTGTCGAAAAAGTCCTCTAGTTTATAAAACTGTTCAAATGTTATATAATTTTTTTTTTAATTTTGTGGTCTGCACACGAATTGAGTTGATTTCCTGATGCTTGGCCCCCTTCGTTTTATACTGTATAGTCAATCCCAAGAATGCCAATAATGAGGACTGCTGGCGAATTCGGCGACTCGTCATACTTCAGGAAAAAGCCTCAGCAACGAACATCACCAGAACCTCAATTAAAATCTCGTAGTCCGGAATCACGCCATATTAAAGGACACACTCGACCCGACGACGATTCCGGCGAATTTGAGCCATCAGTTGAACACTCGTCGGAAGAAGGCGCCTGGCAACAAGTCCAGGAAATTGCCGACGACGACGACGACGACGACGCAGATCGGGTATCAGCTGTGAAATCCGGTGCATGGCAGGTACGCAAATGTGTTGTCCTTTTTCGGTGATATACTAGTATATATATAAGACGAAGCTATGTATACGAACCACGTACTGTACTGTATATATACAACGAATTTGGCAACTTTTTGTGTTTCATATCGCGTGTTTGGTTTGGGGATGCGCAATATAATGCTTTACAACCGCGCGGTCGCCTTTCAACCTTCGACGATAAGATTTCGATTTCAAACGCACATTTATTGCGACATTGGAATGGTGTTTAAAAATTTACAGTATTGAGCAATTTCAGCACTTTTCGAAATGAAAGTCGCAGAAACTTTCTTTAGACGGGTGTATAATTTCTTATTCCATATCTACGAAGCCCGGAAATCTGCAATCAGAGAAGACTAATAACCGGAAATTCAATTTATTTTTGCGAAATCAAATGCCGTTCAAGATCCATTGGATAATTCATAAAACCAGGATATTCTGGATATTCTGATATAGGATATTCAGTGCCTAAACTTTTGCTTCTTAATGATTTTACAGCTTTATTTATATAACTCCGCAAGTCCGCATTGAAACTTTCCTAAAGGAATCATTTAATGAATAATGCAGTAGAATATCTTTTCAAAGAATTTCGTTACAATTATTTAAAAAATCTCCTTACAAAGAATCTTGAAATAGCGAATTTTTAAAGGAAGTCGTATTCCATGTCCCTGCACAAATAGCCACCATGTTTTGAAGATTATTTTTAAAACGAATTCATCGTTACAATAACGAAGTTTTTCCTGGTTCCAATGGTTTCATTATTGTAGCGAGATTTTGCAGTTTACATTTGCGTTCTTTTCCAACTTTTATTACATCATGTACTGTATAAGCAAACCAACTAATTGACAAACAACTGAAAATAAACAAAAAAAACAATGCATTCTCATTGACAGTCCGCGAAATTTATAGTTAAATTGTTGTAAATTAAATTCATTTTCGGTATTTTTGCGAATATAATTCACCTAATTTTACCTGCATGCTGAAACTTTAAGATACTGAATATAATATGATTTCTCAGCTATTGGGTAAGGAGTATAAAACTACAGATCATATGTTCCTTACGAAATGCTTAATTTTGGACTATATTATTATGACAGCTATAATTTTTCACGTCCTCCACAGTAAGATTTGCGTCATAGCCCAGTTCAAGAAATGTTTCCCCCGCTCAAGAAATATACGTACCCGTCTGTTTCGCTTTGTTTTCCACCAAGAAAAATTATTTTTATGTGAGGGTATGATTCACACTGAATCCTTTCCTCGTGTTATCTCATCTCTACTGGGTATATAGGGAATCGCAAAGAAAGCCAACTTGTTGCTCACCAATCAAGAGCGAATCCTTTCCAACACAACGCGGGAACTGATTCAAGCCAGGACGAGGCTCCGAGTATTCGAAGGAATGCGGATCACGCTTCTGCGAAAACTATTCATTGCTCGACAAAGAAATGCGCTTCTCACAGGTAACAAGAAGTCTAGCCTCAATCATTGGAGAATACCACATTAAGAATAATACAGGTGGCCTCTCTGTCTGCAACAAAATTCAAGAGACGAGGAAAAAAAGTGGGTACTTTCCTATTATCTCAGTATCTACTTTCTGTGCACCTACCAGAAACTGTGAATTTAATTTTTCTGCATTCTGCTGAAACTGATTTTGGGAGGTGGTTAGGTAAAGTTAGGATAGGTCAGGTTATGTTAGTTACAAATATCTTTCAATTAACATAACCTGACCTAACCTG